TTAGTTGTCATTTTTCATGCCAAAGGTTTAGTCTGAGATCATCTTTATGTCAAAAGTTAGTTTGCTGACGATGCTAACAAATTAATACACAAACACCATTATTGTACACCTTCGCCTTCAGCAGTTGATGACAGTAAAAACATTCAAAAAGAAGAATAAGCTCCTTTCTTTTCCCAGTTCCTCCTTTAATGGGACCTATCATGTAAAATCCACTTTCATTAGCTTTTAAGTACATACTGTACAACCCCGTGCAAAAGGTATGGAATCACCAGTCTTTCCCTGTGCTTGGTCAATAAAAGCAACATTCACTGACTTCCACAATGTTTTCTCTTCATTTCTTTGAGTGTTCCTGAAAGCCAACAAGTTGCACTTTGGAATGACCTTATTATTGTATCATGTTTTTGATCTGAGGTTTTTTTTTTACAGAATGCAATGTCTCAGAGTGCTCATCCAAGACTGGTGATTCCGTACTTTTTGACAGGGGTTGTATTGTTGTATACTCGGAGTTCGTAGGAATGCAGAAAAGTTAAATATAGTCTCATTTGTGTTTAAAGAGACAGCTTCAAAACGTGTTGATCTGAGACACACCTCAGAACAGCAGTGAAAGAAGTGCTTGAGTGACAATAAAGAGGAATTCAGACAAAATTATTGCAGTTCCACTTCACATAAACTCCTACTGAATGATTTAAAAGAAGGATTTGAAAGCCTATGTCTCCTTTAATRATTCCTTGCAATTGACAGGGTTCATATGCAGCCCACTGCATCCAGACAGTCAACATTAATGAGCTCAAACTGCTTCAGAAATAGCCAGCAGAGCTCTGCACCAAACCAATCACAGCCATGTAGAATATAATCAAGTTCACGTGTAATTTGGCTGATTGGTGGGGAATATTAATGAACTGTCCTGTAATGAGCCTTAATGAATRACAAACGGGGAAGCATCTCATTTCCTGCTCTATTTGTCACCTATCGTTAGCCTGTTATCACAGCTAATGTAAACAAATGATACAATGTCGGCCAAGATAATCTAAATGGATACATTACTCTGTAGACTGGCGTGATGACAATACGGTCTGTTCTGCTTTTTTAATAACCATTCTGTTTATGTTTTCATGTGTTTTATATAAAGAGATGRCCTAGTTTTTCTATCGTCTGTGATGGTTATAACCATTATTATTAAACAGTCCTAAAATTAATGTGCAGGGACTTGCCAAGGTCTCTTTTTTAACTTAAATTTTCTTCTAAATTATACAAATATATTTTACATTGAAGTGGCTTGTGTTTGGAATCTGGACACTTTTGTCATTCTTTTTTTCTCTCTAATTATCTACTTGACTCCTCTAGCAATATTATCCAAATAAAACACCATAAAAAATGAATAACCGTTTAACTTGGTACACACAACAAAACATATTTTTCTGCTTGGCCTTCAGAGGAGTCGGAYGCTTTTGCTCTCTCTCCCGAACCTTTCCCTTCTTCCCTGCTTTGCAGCTTTTTCAAGCCTTTCTTCTACCTATCATCCRAAAACAAAAGGAATTGTGGATTTGGTCAACTGGTCTCTAAACACAATCAACACAATTTTTTCCACACTGAGATTGGAGTGAGGGGAACGCAGCTGTCCCAGTGGAATGGTGGCGGCCGGGCGAGTGTCTGGATCTTGGGGGTGGAACCTCATCTGTTTGATGCCACTTTCCATTGAAGACRTGGAAGATTTGTAAATATTTGAATTTATGATAACTGGATTCCTGCTGATCRGCTGTGGAGCAGTCCTGGCTTATCAGAAAATGAAAGCAATYCTGACAGCAGTCCGGGCCTGTGAGAAGCTGTCAGGAACCTCCCGTACTGGAAACACACAGACTCAAATGTTGGGGGGATATAAGTCGCAAACTGAACGTGATTCTGACGAGAATCACAGTTCAGCAATGTGCCTGTGAGGAGTAGGATTACACCTGGGTGAAGTTTCAGTCGGAAAGAGGTGAGGAGATAATGAAATTCGGAACATTGGTATTTTTGCCATCACAGAGATGCAGTAAAGCAGCGAGAAAATCAAGGCTGCCTGTCCCAAAACAATTATGTTTATCTTTTGGATCCCTGCAGCTGCTGACCTTGGTTCAGCATTTATCAAAACTCCCTGGATGACATGTGAAACAAAGGCTTGACTCCCCATCCCCTACTCATATCATCCGTGGGTGGATCGGCCTGAAGGCCACGATGGGTGGAGACAGAGAACTGAACTCTGGTGATTTGTGCTTTCGTTGATAACAACTTGTTTTGGACTCTGGAGGTCTCTGATCGGTTCCAGCACGGAGTATTAACCTGAAACGTCACCGGCTCTGCTGCATCCTACCCTGTACCATGTGTTTGATCCCCAGCCCTCTCCCTTCCTTAGCTGCCTTGCACTGAGTGTTTTTTAGCGCATAATTCTGTGTTTTTGTATAAACATAGGATTAGAGCATCTTTTTTAAATTAATCTTTCCTATTGTGTGTTTTCCAAGCTTTTTACTGGTTGCCACATGACCTGATCACCTGTTCCCCCATTTTTTTGTCATGCGTGTGTCTTCTTGAATGGGTGTTCTTAAATTTAATTTCATTGTGCAAACTTTGACAATAAAGGCTTTCATCGTCGTCGTCGTCGTCGTCGTCGTCGTGATCATCATTATCTTGCACTGCAGCAAAATCTCAGATTCTCAAGATTCTCAAACAGACTTTTAGGGTTGTGTATAAAGTGCAGCTTGTAATTAGCACATATCAGCAATGAGATCAGTCAGGTTTCTTGAAACTACATTGACTAAAACTATAAAGCTTAAAAAGCTAAAAAAATTGCACAAATGGCAGTCGAATTTGTCTTCAGCTGTAGATAAAARAAGTTAAGGTGAAGCGCATTCAGAGTCTTCTGCTACCGGACACATTATGTTGAAAATGATAGGTTCATAATGGATATGATGAGCTCTGCAGCCTGATTGTCTCCTTCCTATGGCGAGTGCTTAGATCAGGATGGTGCAGCCTATAGCCTGATGAGCTGGAATCAATGCTAACACAACAGTCCTCTTAGTGCATTTATCACAGCTCTCTGCAAATCTTATTTTATTTGACAGTAACTACTCAAAGTTATATAGATATACATAAACATGCTTTTATCAGCCACTTCCTTCTGCAAGCAAACTTTCACGAGAGATTTGGGAATTATTTTATACCACCTGAACTTGAACTTGCAGCCTGTGTATTCTGAGACTGCAGCAATGACCACATGCTACCACAACCTTTATATAAACGTTAGGATTCAAATTCCATCTGAAATGCAKTAATATGTTTCCTAAACTAAAATGTAAGCATTTGTAGTTAAAGCACCTAGAAKAATATTTTGCATCAGTCTGCCACAGAAACGTATTATCCTCCCCTGTCATGCTGTTTATGTCTCAGAATACATTTAATGTATCTTTTTAATTCTAAGTATAAAAATTATCTGTTTACGGGGACAGTGTGTACAAAACATATCTCAGAAAAAGCTGAAAAGGTTGTAGGAACAAAGCATCTTGCAAACAAAAGTAACACTTTCCTCCCTCTGTCTGTAAATTGATTCACCTCATCTAATGGTCTTAACTCGGASTCCATTGCTCTCTTCCTCACTCACATAAACACACATACACAGTTTAATGTAACTATGACTGCAGTTGCCACAACACTTGTCAGCTATGAGTAAAAATAAATAAATAAAAATAAAAGCCCAGCATGAGGGGAGAGTTGCAGTGATCCAAATGCTGGCATGATGTTTCTGTAGCTGTAATGTGTCTGGGCAGAAACTGTTGGCCCACCCAAGCTCCACCGCCGAYGCTCTTTGATATTCAGATGAACAGGCAAATGTTGTGTAACTGTGTCAAAATAACTGCATTCCACTTAAACTCTGGTTTATATTCTTGAAAAAAATKAAAATAATAAAGATGGACAACTTTTTGTCTGATGTGCTTTGAACGTTTAGTCTATAAGTCCTTTTTCCCAGCATTTCAATATCCTCTGATGAGAAAAACAAAGACATAAAGCCAGTGTTATAGCAGCATGTTTTAGACAGTGTTACAGGTAGTGGATGGGGCAGTTTATTTTAAGGGACTTACTCAGATCTGTAAAGGGTGCAAAAACCCCTAAGCACAAGTCAACATCTTTAATGTCATGTRTGTCTGTTTCCCCAATTTGCTGCCTGCTTTTTTCAGATGTGTTCCTGATGAAACATACATATATGTCAATATAAATGTAAATTTAATGACATCTAGACTTTGTTTCTGGAGGTTTTCTCCTCGCAGTCTATTCAGTTGTCATGTCTAAATTAAAAAAAAAGTCTCAAAGGCTTTTCCTGTCCTGGCTCTGTTTGAAGACTGTTGATGTTAGATATTTTTAACAGCRTCTAAATTTGAGCCTTTTCCCAGTTTTGGCTGTTGTTTTTATTAGTGTATTTTTTTAACTTATTTTTTATTGTTGTTGTTAGTAGTAGTTTTACTATTCACTGTTCTATAGCATTTTGAGATTTTGTTAATTAAAATTGCCTTACAAATTAAATTCATTGATATTTTTATTATTGTCCATCTGTAATAAAACCTTAATGACATGTTTTCATCCTGTCTTCTTTTGCGCTCATCTAACTCATTTATACAACAATTCTGGCATTGGTTTTCTAGCTGTATTCTGTATTATTGCTCCTACACAAAACCACTTCTGTCCTTTTTAATGTTTGAGCTGGGCACGGACTTTGGGTTTTAAATGTCACATATGAGCAACATTTAGTTAATACTATAAAACTGTGTCCTGCAGTGTTGAGCCCTGCACAACATGTATTTAAACTACCGGTAGGCCATACATTCAGAAAGACATGAACTATCACATCAAGGCTCTTTTTCAAAACWCTCTTATTCAAAACTGAATTTGTTGGAACATAATGTATGTGACGTGAATCKGACTGAATARCTTATTAGGTGGTTTAAATATAATTTGTATTTGGTCTRTGTGTGCAGTGAGGGTGCTGAGGAGCCTGGACTCAGCTCCCATGAGTCTGCAGTTGTCAAGACTATGATCAAAGGAGCTGCTCCGAAATACGGTAAACACTGCGAGCTCTTTCTCTCATCCTCAGCCAAGCATCTGATACATTTGCTTTTTCACTCTGTCACACATTGAGTGAGCCGCAGTTGCAAATATTGCCAGCTGTTGTTATYGCTCTCTTTGTGAAATCTGATTTACAAACTTAGTTTTACAACAAAATAAGTTTGTTTCCAATTAACTGTGCAGAATTATGAACAAAGAGACTATAATGTGCAGCAAATACCTTTTTTTATTGTCATGGCTGCATAAAATGTGTGAGACGGTACATTAATCATGACACCAAAGCTGCCTATGCTATTTTTGTTAGGCTTTCCTGTACATTGTTTTTACTGAAAACATTTTGTGGTACTTTTAAYGCTACATTAACTTGTGGAAATATAATCAGACTRAAGGTGTTTGAGCTWTTTTTTTTWGCCCTGAGTTTTTACAGTTTGGGGATTATTTGCACACCAAAAGGAGAAAATTTTCCCTTATAAAAGCTTTACAAAAAAGGCAAAAAAACAGAAAAAAATACCCTAAAACTTTACCGGTATGTATCAACAAAACAAGGGTAAAGATGGGGTAAAAGTCCTGAAACATGCGTCTGTGGAACAGACTGTTGATTCAGCTAATTTGGGGAGTGGAAAAGGGCTTTTTTTCCAGGGTTGAGGCTCGACATGTGTTATGAAATAGGTCACTGCAGACTTTTCCCTCGCCTCATGTTTTTCTTCTGAAGACCATAAAGCAGGCCCAAATTTGTTCAAGGCACCTTGCTCTGCAACCTGTACAGTGGTTATATTTTGTCCAAAAACTATTACTTATTGAAAGAAACTGCTAGAAGTTATATGGGAAAAAAGAAGGTAGATTTAGGGAGCATTAAATTAGTGTCCAAMTCTGGTAGTAGATATTTCAATAATGTCTTACGTTTATTCTGCAGATACAACATACATATGTGTGTGTATACTGTATATTTATATATTTTTTCAAAGAAACTCTTTTTTTCTTATACAAACAAAAAAATCATGGAAACAATATTGTTTATCAGTCATGCAGCACCTCAGCAGCTACTGAAACACAACCTCCAGAAACAGACTTCCTGATCTTGTCCATTGTAAAATACTATTTGTGCTTCAGAAAAGCAGTGCGATTATTTGCACTATGGACTCATTGCAAGGTGGATCTCTGAATCCCTGCTGAGGCTTTCTGTGTGGAGACTGACTGATTGCCCTCTTCTTATGGTTCCTTCATGTCACTCCGACAGGAGTGTAGATTCAAGTGTTTCCATGGATGCTTGTTAGGTCYTTGTGTTTCCTTGCTGGCCTCATAATAAACTGGCCATCTGTCTATGCTGGTTTTTGYCCGGTGATAATTAGGACAGACTCCAGGTGCCTCATGACTCTGTACATGTATGGAAATAAAAATCTGGTAACACACATGCTTAATGGCGTCTAATATTTCATTTCTCCAGATTCATCATTCAAGCATCCAGTTCCATCTAGTGCATGCTTGAATTCTAAACAACAGCTTTGCTAACAGACTGAAAGATCAAACTTTGCCCTGTAAAATCACTTGATGGGAAATTATTGATGAGCAAAAATTGGACACTTAAAAAATCCTTACATTTTGTAAGGAATCAAAAATAAATCTGTTAAATACCACTGTATTAGGTCAAAGAAAAATTAAGATTCAACATTATCTGCATCTCAAAATCACAAACCTGAATGTTGAGTCCATGCTTCACTTATAATAATGCCAACACTTCCAACTGTAGTTCTGAGATGAAAAAAATCAGCCTACATGTTCTGCCAGGTGTCAGATTTTTAACAGACAGAATGTCTTGGTGGTCTGTGTGATGGTCTGTATGTCAGTGTGCAATTGGTCATGTGTATTCATGCACACACACTTCAGGAATGCGCCAAAAGGGAAAAAAAAGTGTGTTTTTCAAGACTGGCAAGATGAATGTGTAACGGTGACACTAGTAATAAACAGCACCATGACACCTGCGGGATGGGAAGTCAGAAAGCAAATAATGCTTTCTTTTTTTAGTTTGAATCAGTTTTTCTTTACTTATCCAGTTTATTCACGCAGCTTTTCATGTCTCATCCTCCTCCTGTAGGCCAAGGTTTGATCACCCCTTCTTTTGGAATGAAGGGTAACACCAGTTCTGTCTCGAGGAGTCCTGTACCACCCCGACCTGTGCCTCAGGCTCACCCTAAGGATGAGGACACGCTGGTCCAGATGGCAGAACATTTTCCTGCTGGGATGCGAACTCCCATGTGTGCCCACTGCAACATGGTCATCAGGTGAAGGAGAGAGATTTTGACTAATTTGAGGGGGCAGCTTAATAAGATTATTTTAAACAAAGTAAAACAATTGTCACTGTAATTTGGTTTATGGCATTGATCCACAATTTTTAATTGGCAGACAGAACCAAACAAAGACATTAAAACACAGACACACAATGACAAAATCAATAGGGAAGTTGTTTTATTTATATCTGTTTAGCTGGCTGTGAACGTGATGTATAGTATTTGTAAAAAAAGGAAAAAAAAAAGATGTTCAGAGGGGAAAAGCTTCTACAAAAGCTGTTTAATCCTGTAAGTGGGCCTGTATAGCTACAACATGGACTTTTCCTTTTTCCCCCCCCCTGTCCTTTTCTTCTACCAACCTTTTCTTTTGTCCGGTAGCAGACTGATCCAAACGTTATCTGCAGCTGTGTCACCCAGTGTTGGATGTCACCAGCAGGTATCACATTGCTCATGAGCTAATAGCTGACAGCTTGCTCCACTGTCAGAGCAAGCTGAGATAAGCACAGTGATTGTGCTCAGTAGATTAGTCTGCAGCGTTTTTACTTAATCATCAGTAGATAGGGCCATGGTGCTGTCTGAGTGGAAACAAGTTCTTGTTCCCTAAAGGGATTTTTTTAAATTAAGATAAAACAATCCATCAGTAAACCATCAGACACTAATTTAATAGGYGATACCATAAACTGGATGATTATCTATGATATTTATAACTATTGATAATGAAACTTTTTAAGGCAGGTAATGTTAATGAGACGTTTAGTCTCAGTTGCAAGAGAGACCTGTGAAACTAAGCTGCTTTAAATCCACTTGCCTTTATTTTTTAAAGTTTGCTGCCGTGTTACAGTCATTCTTGCTAAATGTACTTGCGGAATAAGCAGCTACAAATGTTCTGATTAGGTTTTGAAATTTTCAAAAATCTGAGCTGGTGGGTTTTGCATGTTCTTCTGTGTATGTTTTTTTCWTTTTTTCCTTTTTTATGTTTTCAGTTTAGTTTAACTACAACTGAAACACCTGTTATTTTAGTGTGGGGGGTTTTATGGCTAAATTGGACCAGCCTGGTGGCTAATCGTCATTATTTGCACATTGCACCAGTAAGGGCAGAGTGTGAAGGTTCAGTTAAGAGCACAGTTTTGCTCAAAATATTGCAATGCACACAACACTATGGGTGACACCTGTATCTGTTTATCTCTTGTGTGTCTCTTTTTTGGTCCTGTGACTGCTAAACTACCCAAGGTGTCTCTCACAGTGACAGCTGGCTTTAGCTAAATCACACACACCCTTCCACCATAGCTGCCACAGACAATAAATGTATGGTTAGATGCCAAAAAACAACATTCAATAAAAACAAGTTCTCAKTGAKGTTATATTTTATATTTAAGTGTTGACCTAAATGTGACCTAAAGYATCAGTGATCCTATTGAGGTGCTGATGATCTGGAATTGTCTGGAACAGATTGATGATCTGTTAGTAAGGGTTTGTGTGTCGTGTTAAATGATTTTTGTTGACGATTTATAACTGGCCTTCTGCCCGTCTGTCTTTCTTTCAGAGGACCATTTTTGGTTGCAATGGGGAAATCGTGGCACAAAGAGGAATTTAACTGCGCCCACTGCCGCAGTTCCCTGGCCGATGTAGGCTTTGTGGAAGAAAAGGGATGTGTGTACTGTGAACACTGCTATGAAGAGTTCTTTGCTCCGACTTGCAGCCGCTGCCGGGCCAAGATACTGGGGGTGAGTTCAGGTGTGAGGATTGAACTGTAACATTAGGGAAAGGGATGAAGACTTGGAWAGTTGTTAATCTATTCTGGATGAACATTTTAAGACAGTTACTTTCTTTTCAGCTCTCTTTGGCCGTAATGCTTGTTGTTTTACTGACACCAAGAAAGCTAAAGATTGAGAAAAGTTTCTGTGACGACCAAAACAGCAGCAGAGGAATGCAGTGCTCTGATGGTGGCGGGGGGAATTAGGCTTAAAGGCCTAAAGGCTGCAGGTGTGGTTTCAACCCAAAGTGTCAAGAAGTTGAAATCACTTTTCTCAGAGCAGCTCTGACATTCATCCCTCACATGCTCTGACCTCTTTAGCCTCAATCCTTTACAGCCCTCTGTTTCTCACACATCTTCAACCAGCTTACGGCTTCTCATTAACCGGTTTTCTCACTCCCTCACCCCTAATCCTTCATTTTACTATGGCTCACCAATTTTCCTCTGATTTCCTGTCTTTCTTTGTTCTCATAGTTTATGAGTCGGGGGGTGGGGGGTTGTGCATTTTAAGTCTGGTCATGAGACTGGATGAGACAAAAAGGAACAATGAAAGGTGATGTGAGTAAAACAGATAATTAGATTCCATTTTAYTGAAGTACAACAAACAGATTTATCATTGTGAAGGATTCCCCAGGGACATTTATTCTATTGTTTAAAATGTTCTGATTTGATCAGCATTGTTAAATGGAGCAGAAAACCTGCATTCTTTTGTTAGTATTTTAGTGGCCCTGTGTGCCAACCAAGATGCATCAGTGTACGTCAATACAATGTTACAAACTAAACATGTTTATATTTGCATCAGGAAGTGATAAATGCCCTCAAACAAACATGGCATGTCTACTGCTTCCTGTGTGCTGCCTGTCAGCAGCCAATCAGAAACAACACTTTCCACCTGGAGGATGGAGAGCCTTACTGYGAGCAAGGTCAGTGATAATGATGCAATATACCTACTGTATAGTTTCAAGATTTGTAAGAAAGCAACCTTCAAACCTTAAATCAACATCATATGTCACAATAAACACGTCACATGTAACAATCACTGTTTACAGTATGATAGTTGCAGTACTCTTGAGCAGTGGTGCTTAACTGCTGGCACACAGGCTGGATTTGAACTCACGGATTTTGCCCGCAGAGGCCGCGAATCATAATTAAATCAAAATTAGTTGAATATGCTAATCGATGCACTCGCTCACATGTGATCAGGTCTGAATCAGAAAACCTGCCACAGAGATCACTGGGATGTTCTCACTGTTTGACTAGGATGCGTGACTCACTGAAAACCTGGAGATCCATGTGGAGCATCATCTGAGATGTAAAAACAAAAGCAGCATCACAAATACCGTTTTATGCTGGCAGCACAATTTTAAATAACTGAAACAGAGATGTGATAATTACCAGAAACATAGTGCCTTAAAGATGACCCTCACAATTTCTGATCAGAAAAAAAGAACATTATATTTTACTGAGTATCAAATCTATACTTTTGAAAAATTTCCTAAATTTCTTTGCTTAAACAAATAATTTGGTGCAACTGACGAAGCAAGAATTTSAGTTATCTAATACATAGGTACTCTAAAAAGCTTACTTTATTCATTGGATTTCTGGTAACACTTGAAAGAATGGATCATATTTCTTGTTATGTGCTCTGAAAGCATCCATCTAATATTTTTCTTGACAGTGTTATACACACCCTGTCATCAGTTCTCTCAAGGAAATAAGATCTCTATTTACACTCTGCAGTAATGCATTATTTTAGGAAAGATATTATATTCAAACATGGATCAGTCWRGTCAGAGTTTTARCTTCTTTGAACTTGCTGTTATTCTTAATCGACTGACTTCAGTTCATAAACTATTAGTCATGTTGGCAGCTTGGTGGTGCAGAAGTTAACACTGATTAGTCAATCAAAACGGCTTGTAGGTGTGAATATGAGTGTGAATGGTGTAACTGGCTGGTGACTTGTGCAGAGCCAACTCTGTTTCATATTCAGCTCCAGGAGATTAATTATACAGCACCAGTTAACAAAAAGTTATCTCAAAAGTATAATTAATGTTMATATAGTCCAGTTCAGTTGAATACAGTCAAATTAGCAATCATAAAATCCCAGTTTCTTTAAATGAACTGTTCTATTTAGGAAGTTAACATCCTGCATGGAAATGAGTATTGATTATTTCCAAAAATCCTCCTGTAGGTGCATCGCTGCCAGCATCCAGACTGGTGTGGGTCGCTGATAAAATTGGCTCTAAACACCACTCAAATTCAAAATCAGGACAAGTGTGGGTTAGATTTGCCTTTTTTGACAAATGCCTACTATCTGTAGGCTTCTGAAGGGCATTTTGTAGGTGGGGGGGATGACTGTGCACTGTGTTAATCAGGTTGGTGACAATTTTGTCATGCTAAAATGAAAAAAAATATGTATATGGCATAGAGAGGTTGTGTCTTTCATGTACTTAAAGCTGTATTATCAGAAAATGTGGGATCTGTGTAATCTTAATCATGGGAACCTTTTATTCTCACACACTGTGTACTGCTCTTTATAATTAGGGGACTTAACATTTCATGTTTACCTGGACTTTGTCATTAAAATTTCAAACTTTGATCCCCTCACTCCCCCCATTCTGTTTGCCTCAAAAGACTTTTACAGTTTGTTTGGGACTGGTTGCCATGGCTGTGAGTTTCCCATCGAGGCTGGGGATAAATTCTTAGAGGCACTTGGTTACACCTGGCATGACACCTGCTTTGTTTGTGCTGTAAGTACTGATGATACATTACTTTATATTTAATTAGGACTAATATTCATTGAGATATGGTGTTTATGCATAATTCACAAACTTCTACTCATTTTCCATGAATTGTTTGGGAAAATATTCCATTCAGATG